AAATATGACTATTAATTTGATTGGGTTGAGGGGCACAAAATAGCCCCCATCATCACCAAATATTTTCCACATCATCAATATGACGCGGTATGCTGATAGCGGGCGCTTTTGTTCACCGGCCCCCCACACCTGCCTCTGTGCTATGCCTTTTTTTACTTAGGAAAAGCAAGAATGTTTCATTTTTAGTGTTTGAACCTCCCATGGGCCTTTCTGCCAAATGCCAGTTGTATATCAGAAACCTTCAATCAATTTGGCCTTGAAGCCAATTAAAGAATAGGAATTTAGTCAAACTAAATTCAGATTGAGGCCAAATTTAAGAAAACCACTCTCGTTGAATTTTGAGATGATAGAGCATAGACCATTCTTGCATTCGAGTTTAAACGATCCAACAGTAAATTTAGTAACCGGACAATGGACAGCTCAAAGAATTATTTTGAGAAAAACTCAATCTTCTTAACACCTTCTAAATACCCAATGTCAAAAGTTTACGAATCTTACTTCCTCCCGGGGAATATGCAAATGTATAACTCTTTTAGGGCCACGTTTCCTAGCTCAATGTTTCTTTTTTTATATTTAAGAGTGCAAACAGCAGCAGACTTGCAAAATTAAAAGCTATTTTGGATGAAAATTGGAATTGAAATTTTGACGAAACACATACCCATATGTTTATGTCGTTTCACTGCTGTTCTTTGCTCACCTGATCACATGGGCACCGCTCGAAAAGGAAAAGGGGAAGAACCCAATGATCTATCAGCCAGTGCCCTCACTCCCATCCAGAGAAATCTGTGAATGATAGTTAGAAATCTTGCAAATATCCCATCCCAAAATGAGGTGGTAGGGCGGTTCGTCCTTCCTTTTGCAACTGGGAGCACCCCAGTTGCAAAAGGAAGGACGAACCGCCCTACCACCTCATTTTGATTCGAACTGTCTCAATCATATTTTTTATATTGTTTCAAATTGAATGAGAGAAATGAGAGAGAACAGAAAGAAAGCTTTAAGAGGCTTCGTTAACGACTGCCATTTTCTATTATTTCCAGATTCACAGATCCCTAAAAGCATGCTTTATCCCTTATGGAGGCCGAGAGTACGGTTACGGAAGCTATGAGGTATTGGCACTGAAACAAACACCCAAGGAGTCGGCAGTGAAACCAAAACCAGAAGTAAAGACCACACCAAAGGAACCAGAGAAGAAAGATGGTAAGTTGACCCTCATTCCCGTAATATAGGATGCTGGAACATGCATACATTCTCCTTCAATGCTTTTCTCTAGACGGCTTGTCAGACTTTGAAAGGAGGGTATTGCAACGCCACAATTATTACAGGAAGAAACACGGAGCCCCGGCCCTAACTATGGACCGAGAGGTACGAGTG